AGAAGCAGATGAGCTAAAGTCAAGCTTAAGGACAACCTTACCTGACAGCAGTAAAACCACTTGGAGCATTTAGCATCATTTTTAAAAATCAGTTTGGGATGTTTAACTTGCTTTTCCTGTGCTCATGTCCTGTAGTGGTGTCTTTTAACATGCAGCATTTCCAGTGAGAGATGCAAAACCAGTGTCACATTCCACCTTTGGAGGGAATGCAGGGGGTGTGCCCACTTCCAGAATTAATCCTGAAGCTGCTTCCCTAGCTATAGTTTACAGAGATTATTTCCTCTGAAGAAAAATGTTTGGATGCCACTCCTAGTTTAAAATGAGGAGGAAAAGTTAACTCCTTACTAATTACAGAAGGAAGAGGGGAAACAGGTTATTACGAATATGACAAGTAACTGGTGAATTTCCTCAAGGAATCTAGTCTAGAAGCATTTGTGAAAAAGCAGGAGACTGTATGTGGAATAATGATGTCTGCTTCTTTACAAACTTTCTTTGGAAAGAGCAGTGTTTGTAAATTCCCGATGCAGACCTCTGGAATGGTGGTTCTTGCCATTGGCAGCTGTAAGTGGAATACAAGTGCTGAACTATAACCTAGTGGCAAGAAGGTGACTCAAAAGGCAGTTTGTTAAAGCATTGTTACACTAATTAGAAAAAGAAACATAAGAGCTTAGGAGTAGCAGCAAAGCAGATTTCCAAATAAGTAATTTCCATCATGAAATTTCAAGTATTTCGTGTTTTGCTAAAAGTAGCAGCACTTGGAGTTTGACAAATTGGGGATTGATTATGTTTTTCTTTAATTTTTTTCCCTTGCTGCTTGTTGCCTGCTTAGGAGATAAGTTTTGTACATTTGTTCTGTGTGTTTGTCAGCAGTAAATGCCGGCAACTGGGTAGAGAAAAGGAAGCCCTTTTAGGGATAAGCTACGTTCACCCTCTATCAACCATCAGACAGTTCAAGTGGGGGCATAACCAAATTTCCTATACACCAGAGGCAGCCAAATATGAGGAACGCATTCATGAGAAACTAGGATTTATAATTTCTTTTGCTCCTAGAGCCACTCATTAATTGCTATTTGGCATGTATGTGTTTGCTTTTTTCTTTTTTTTTTTCCTTTTAAAAGCAAGTATGTGCATTCTACTGTGGCTCTTTTCAGCCTTTGTGGACAACACTGCTATCTTTCTACTTTATTCTGTTGTGTCTTCGTGTTTGTGTGCATCCAATCTAAAAATCTCAAGCAGAACTGCAGCATAGCCTGTGTATATTCCTTCCATGTGTGGAAAATCATGTTTGCATGGGTTCAGTCAACTCAGTAGCAATCCTGAAGAATTCTGTGGGATGGCTCATTGTTCTGAGGAATTCTTATTTGCTGCAGAGCATGTAAAACATCTTTGCTCTGCATAAGTAAGTCATTATATTGCCACTAAAATGAATTCCATCCTTTAAAATACCTAATTGTGCTGTTTTCTCTGGAGATTTTGTATTTTTACTGACTAGTTAATTTTGTTGTTTTTAACGATAACCACTTTTATATCTGTATTGAATATAAAAGTTATAAAGATAAAGCTGTTACCCTTTCAGAAGGTAAAGAAAATCAACTTCTAATCCTTTGAGAGGCACTCTGCACATTAAGCAATCTGTTACAACAATCTGTAGATGAATCACCCTTGAGGGAAGTACTTTAAAACATTGTTAATTCCGTGTTGATTTATATTATTTTCATATGTAAGCCAGAAATAGTAGGGGAGTGGAATTACTAAGTCAGGTTACAGGGGTAAACAAAGAATCATAGAATTTTTTAGGGTTGGAAAAGACCTTTGAGATCGTAGAGTCCAGCTGTTAACTCAGCACTGCCAAGTCCATCACTAAAATATATCTTGGGAGAAGAGACTGACTGACTGAGGGTGCCCTCAGTGCTCTGGTCCAGATCATCAGTGAAGATACTAAATAGGACTGGCCCCAGTACTGAGCCTGGGGCAACACCATTTATACCTGCCCACCAGCTGGATTTAACTCCATTCACCACATCTCTTTGGACTTGACCATCCAGCCAGTTGCTCCAGGAGAATGATGTGGGAAACAGTGGCAGAGGCTTTACTGAAGTGTGGGTAAACAACACCCACAGACTTTCCCTCATCCTCTAAGCGGGTCACCCTGTCACAGAAGGATATCAGGTTGGTCAAGCAGGACCTGCCTTTCATAACCTTGGGCTGTCAGACCTGATCTCCTGGCTGTCACATAATGTGACTTCTGGCAAATTAGCACAGCACTTACCAAAAATTTTCACTTATTATGTTACTTGGCATCCACTCTGAACTCGTGATATTAAGTGTCTAGGAAGAACACAAGTTTATCCAACAGTTTCAAAGGGCACTTAAAGAGAAAGTCCAATCAATGTATTGTCAATGCCACATTTTTATTAATATTGCTATAAGCTGCGAGAAGTTGTTGTGCCTCATTTCTTACGTGAATATATATATATATATGCATATATTTTTCATAGTGGAATTTAAATTATATTAAGATTCAGAAATATATTACGAAATGAAAAAAAGCAAAGCATGGGGAGACAAGGGTCAGTGCAACAGCCAGTGCAACAGCATTTTATGGAGCACCATCCATATCCTAAGACTCTTCTGCCTGGAAGGAAGTGGCTCACAAAGGCTGTGGTACAAATGTCATAAAGAAGGGGAATATGACTACTTCTCACTGCCCTTTTAGTACAGAAGCCGAAGGATATCAAATGAAACAAGGAGGTTTTGGGCTTTAAATTGCAAAAGGGGGTGTTACTTCATGCAGTGTGTAGCTAAGCTTCCGGATGTTGTGGGCACCGGAGTCTTAAATCAGTTCATAGAAGATTTGGAAGTGTGGTCAGTTAAGGGATGTTAAATGCAAAAGCTGAATCTCTGGCTCAGAAAGTCCCTGGAAGCACTGATTACTGAGAGTGCTGGGAAGATGTGGTTTAGTGCTTGCCCAGTGCTTACATTATTCCTTAGAAATCTGCTTCCAACCTTGTTTAGAGGTAGGGTGAGCCTTTTGATTTGACTCTTGACATCCCACTGCTATGGACTGCAGGAATTCAGCAGGGTGATTTGAGACTCCTTCCCAAACATCAGTTACCTTTTCTCAGTGATGTTCCCAACAGGTAAATACCGACACGAGAATGTTTTCAGATGCTCCTAAGATACTTTATAGGCATTTCGTGACGGTCACACAGATTTGAAGTGAGATTTTAAGATACCATTTCTTCATATCATAGTAACATTCATTCTAGAAAAGTAATTTTATATAGGGAACTATGTGAGAAGAAAATTAATTTTGATAGAAAAAGAAATGTTACTGGGAAAATGGCTTGACATAAATAGCTGAGAGGACAGGGCAGAACTGTGGTGGGGGAAGGGTGGAAAATGTGGTCATTTCCAACCACCTCCTTTCATTGTGGGATTGGCATCACTTAGGAGAGTAATTTTAACCTTATGGCTACTTTAATTTCCTGTTCTGTAAATCGGTAGCTGCTTAACTTCCCAGCTTAGTGAACGGTGATTTTAGTTGTACTTCTGGCATCTTCTGAAAGAATACCTACCTGGGGAAATACCAAAGAATTCTCAGTAGTCTTCTGCTTCTGAAAAAAAAAGGGGGAGAGGGGATGCAATAGGATTTTAAAATCCGTCTGATGCTGAGTGCTTTCAGAACACAAGAATTTTGTACTTCCTTTTCATACCTTTGAGGACATTTCTCTCTAGTCTGCTGTTGCTGTCAGATGTGAAAGGTGCACCCCTGTTTCCATTTTGCATTTTCTCAGTCAGAAAACCAGAAAATAACAAAGCTTCCCCTAACAGGGCTTAGGAATCATTTCTGAATTGGGTTGTGTTCTTCCATTAACAGGCAAGATTTGCCTGTATACCCATTTGAATGCTTGGTAGGTGACAATGTGTTGACCAAAGTCTTCTGAAGATGAATTTGTTCAGTAAAAAACAAATGAAAAAAGATTCTTATGGACTTGAGTAAAACAAAAAGTACAATGTGTGTGCCTTCTGGGCATGTGCACATAGCAAATCTACACAGGAGAGTAAACTGTTAGATATGTATTTTTGTCAGCTCATTTCATTTTCCAAATCTTTGTACTATAAAGTCAAAATTTGCTTGCCAAATGTATTTAAAGATAATTTAGTCAGTGAAACTTACAGGCCTAAATCACTATGAATTTTCCTTGAAAATAGTAGTGTAGCATGGAAATACTGAATAGATGCATGATGATTATGTAGTAGCTATTTAAAGATACATGTAAATGCAGAGTTAGATATATTTTTAAGAAACACTCTTAAGGAGGGCAACGGTAGATGCAAATTTGAAATTTTTAGCCACGCAATCAGATGTGGTGTTAGAGCTCCTAGCATCCCAAGGATGCAGATAGTCCTTTTTCAGTAATAGAAGCTTGGCAAGTTCAATATAAATAAAAGCTAATACATCAAAGTCACTACCAAATGCCTCAGTCTCCTACTAATTTGCATTTTATTTGTGAAGGTATGGCAGAAATTCTGTTCTTTGTAAACATGTTATTCATTCAGTCTTGAACTCTTTGAGCTTTAGTATTTTATATGTATTGTAGACTTTTGTTTCATGACGGACTGTTGTTCACTATTAGTTTGGGATGAGCAATGACAACAGCTGTGGCAGAGACAACAGCAGTGAAGTTATTAAACTTTAGGCCAAGTAGCTTCTTTCTTAGCGAAGCAATGTTTTTCCAAGTCTTCTGATTAGCCTTGAACACTGTGGCATAGTTTTAAAGTATTGTTATCAATTATAAGTTTGTGAAAAAGTAATGTTACCCAAACAAGAATTACATCTCTACCTGTTCAAAGTATTTCTGTTGGTTCAGTCTACTTCAGTATTTTCCATGGTAACTATTTAGTTTTGCATTTTAAGTTGATCACAGCTTCACCTTGAATAACTATATTGTTAAATGTATTTAAAATACCAATTTTTTTTTTGCTGTTTCTCACAGGTGCATTCTACTCCCTCTCCTGGGAATGAAGCCCCCTCAGCAGAGCCTCTTCATACTCGTGGATTCGGTTGATGAGGGCTGTAACGTTTCTGAGGGTGAACAGACTTCCACAAGTTTATCTGGAACAATTGCAGAGATTTTAGCAAGCCACTTCGAGTTCTTCCCTCCCTGGCTGCTCCTCTTGTGCTCTGCCCGCAAACAGAGTAAAGCTGTTACAAAAATGTTTACAGGTGAGTACAGAGCACAGGAAGTGTTTGGTACCATAACTAGGACGTCGTATTTACCAGACCCTGGGAGTGATGGTTGCATGCTTAGTTTTAAAAAATGACAAAAAACAACAATGCCAATTCTAAAAAACGCACATCCTACTTTACCAAACACTACAGATAGCTTAAATCACACAAATATTTTGGAGTTAAATTATGTCTTTGCAGTACACCTGCCAAGAATAGGGCTGCTTTGAGTTTTCCTCTCACTTTACTTGTTTTTATGAGGCTTTGAAACAGCAAAGGTGATGTGTAAGTACAGAAGTATTTCGGCTGCATACACCCATGCCTTACAACCTCAAAAGGTTTTTCTTTAATCTCCCATTAAAACCTCTCCCCGTATTTGCAGGAAGTGAGTAAGAAGGTGAAATTGGAGAGAGGAATAATGTAGATGTGGATTCTTGGTGCATGCTTTTGGCAGAGGTTGCACAGTAAAAAATTTCTTTACTACTTCTTCATCCAGGCTTTGCCGTGTCATGAGAACATTTCTTCACTATAATGACATTGTTACTGGAAGTTCTCTGAAATTTAATAAAAGGCAATATCTAGACTGGATTCCAAGCCTGTGTATAAAGCCTGTGTGTATTAAGGACACAATTAGGACAAAAATGTGATTATAGAACTTAGACCCATAGGCTTGCTCATTTGACAGTGGCAAAAGGTCAATGGGATAATTGCATTTTGGAATGAAGCACTGTATTAATCAGTGGCAGACATGAAGACTGGTATTTGGGAGTATGCGAGAACTAAAAGAAACTTTGGGGTAGCTTCACAGGGCTCCTTTGGACATTCATATGAGAATAGTTTTGTCAAAGTTTGGCTGATTAGATATGTTGTCATTGCCAAAAAAACAGACAAGACTTTCTTCACAGCAGCTCTATTTCCTTTCCACTGAATCATATAGTGTTTCAGACTAGTCCTAAAAAATTGCTGTTGTTTTCTAAGTGTATTTCCAGATGGAATTCCTGACAGGAAAAATCAGCAGAACTAATGGATATGCCTTTAAAATAAATTTGATTTCAGTGAGTTAATTTCTCATTTCCACAGAGCATGAGTTGATGAATAGCATAAAGGAAGTTGATGTATGATACTATAATCCCATCTTCACTGTGAAAAGGTATAGCAAAGAAAGAATTGGATACAAATTGAGAAGGAATTTTAGGGTCTATTCAGAAGGAAGTGGTGGTTTAGCTACTGTGAAAGAAAAACAGGACATTACAGCCAATGTGATGGCTGCCCATTTAATACACTGTTGGATGATTTTCCTGTTAATAACCAATACTCCAGTTTGCAAAAGGTATGGTCAGGGGATGAGGAGCATTGCTGAAGCTCCTGTTAACTTCAGAAATGTTGCAAATTGGTGTTGTAAAACTGGAGATAACGTGGATTTCTCCTTTGCGGTATTTGAATGTTTACTTTTAGCTGAACCAATTTTTAAAGCTATTTATATTTAGTTGGTGGGCAGGCAGAATTGAAGATCAACAATAAGTATTTGGAACAAAAAACAAAAAATCAGCTTCACTGTAACTTACTAAGATAGATTGGAACCCTTTTAGGATTGTTTTAGGAAAATGTGCCCCATCTGTAGCTTTTTCTGCTAAAAAAAGTTTCGGAGTATAGCATGAAATATATATTAACCTGATTGCAATAAGATTATGTCTGTTTTCACTTAAAATTTTCATGCAGTGAAAGCTTCCTCCAAATCTTTCTGACAAATAGGTTTAGCTCTCATTTTAGCAAAGTGTTATTGATGACTGGATTGCTGCAGTGGCCTTGTCCTGTGATGCTCTTTTTTGGGTGTCCAATACAAATGAGAGTTCTGCAAGCATCTCCCGCATCAAAAATAATCATGGCGTGGAAGAGAGAGTCAAGCTTTTCTCATCCACCCTCATCCTAATGGTGAATAATCCCTAACAGTCTAAGAATGAGAAAAGGAGCAGGGTAATTTAGTCTGATCCTCTTTAATCTTTCACTTCTGTTGGTGACTTATTTATGAAAATTGAATAGTTGTGCTGACTCTACTGCAGCTTGTGCTCTGGGCCCTTCTGTATTCCCAGATTCTGTAGTAGCACAATGTGCTACAGATTTTTTTCCCCTTACAGAGATTCTCAGCTTTCATTAATTTAAAAAATAAAAAAAAAAGAAGGAGAAAGAAAAATGGTTTTGCCTCTTGTGACTGCAGAGACAGCCTCAAAAATATGAACCAAATGTAAAATGATGCCTGCATGAGTCTGTGGTCACCCTCCACAGAGAGCAAAAAGCCAGCCAACTGAGTAAAAAAAGGAGGGGAACAGATAATGCATGGCCTTCTCTTGCATGTGCACTGTCACTCCCACATCATGCCTGTTTGGTTTTCATAATGACTTTCCCCCCAAACTGAACAATTCTATCTTGCACCCATAGTTATCCACAGGGTCTCCCACATCATTATTTGTTATCATTTGGCTACAAGCATGGACAGTTAAGCAGCTACATTAAACACAGTCTTTCCAACCTAAAAGTGGCACAGAACATCCATTTTTTTTTAAGCTTCAGCTAATGAGCTAATTAAAATGCTTCTCCTAAAATGAGACTAAATCTTGAAGGCAGAGGAGTCATTCTTACAAAACCTGTTTCCTTTCTTAAATGTCCGTGATAGTAGTTGAAAAACTTGAGACATTTTAAAATCAGGCAATTTGATTTAGATAAGTGTGAGTGAAGAGCAGATAATTTCTTGTTAACAACACAAAGTTAAATAGACGAAAGTGCATATGTACAAATACTCTATTTATTGGGTCAAAGAGGCTTTTTTCAATAGGCATTTACTTAATTTCTTCTTTTTTGCTGCACACATAAATCAAGTATCTGTGGCATCTGGCTTGATTATACCCCTCAATTAAACACTGACATTCTTCCAAAGAATTCCTTCTTGTGCATGAGGCATGAATGCACCAGTGAGGTACAACACCTGCAGATGTCACGTCTCAGGGATCCATAGTTTTCATTAAGTTAGTGTTAAATATCAGAAAGATACTGAAAACTCCAATAAAAAGAATCAAAAGTGGGGGTGAAAGGGTTTGGTTTAGACTCAGAGGTGACTTAAGTTCCATTCACCCACTTGTCCATAGGCAAAACTAGACAACGTCGTTCATTTTTCGTTCTTCCTTTTTTCTACCATTGAGTTTCAGCCAGGTATTTTTAAGAGCTGATATTTATCCAAATTTATTATTAGAAATATTGGGAGCATGTCTTTCTCATATCTCTGCTATTTACTGGTTCTGGTCTGAATAAATGTGGAGGGTTGATTTTCTTATACTGTTTCCGAAAGCTAAAATATAAGCAATACTTTAGAGAAATACAGTAAAAAATCACAACCCAGCTGCTCTGCACCCAAAAAACCTCACTGTTTGGTGATTAAAGCCACTCAGGAAGTCATATTGCTGAATCCCCAAATCGAAGCAGTTGCCTGATTTGGAGCTGAGCCTTTCTGATTAGCTGCCATTCCAGAAAAGAAATGGCATGAGACCACTACAGGAGATATTACTTCAAGAATGAAGAATCTAAGTTGTCCTCTAGTTTTTCATTGTAGTTTGGAATTTATTTGGATGACCTCATGTTACTTTAAAGACTTTATGGTAGTTGGATTTTGACTATAAAAGACAAATTTTATGTATTTCTGTAGTTGTAAAATTTGCTTTTAAAGTACTAAAGCTTTGAAAAACTTTATTTGTTGTTTTGGTTCAGGTTTTGGAAAGGACAAATGTTCAAAAGGCTTGGGAAATCAACAGAGAACTTTTAATTATTGTTTCCTTTCTTGACATTACCACTTTGAAAGCACTGTACTAGAGAATTTCGTATTTCCTAGTAAAAAACTGTGTGTGAATTTGGAACTTAATCGCCTTGTAATTAAAGAGGGAAGACTAAATTGTTTTAAATGAACTGTTACCTGTAAATCTAATTAAATAAACTTGTGTGCAATGACACGGACCAGTGAGAGCAGCAGATTTCAACCTCAGTGTCTTGTAGCACCTGCAGTAGATGCAGTGATATTTGTAATGCACAATATACTGCAAATGCACTAAAAGCCAAATGTGCTGCTTGAATTATCAGGTGCATTTTACTCTGCTGGATAAGTTATTCTTTTTGAGCAGGTGTGCATAAATGGCCACAAAAAATACCTGATTTATTATGTGACAGATCAGCAGTGTAAATTATTAATGCCAAATCATTGTCATGTTTGTAATCATTTAGATTACTCTAAAGTTAACAATTCAGTTAAATATATAAAAATGTGTTTAAAACTTTTGTAATTTACTTATGTAAATTCATCTAAAGCTATGGAAGTAGAAGGATTTTTTAAGCATTTACTGGAACTTGCTAGTTAATAGCTTATTTTTTATTATTAAAGTCTGAGAAAGTTGACATACTATAAAAGTATTTATAGCCAAGGTACTTTTTTTCTCCCGCTTTGAATGACCCTAGATCTTGCCAAGAAGTACATTTGGAACTGATTTGTTTACAGAACTGCCAGAAATGTAATAAATCAGGACAATCCATATTGGAGCTGTTGTTGGTTTGAAAGTGATGTGTTGTATGAAAAATTTTAACAACGCAAAAAGCAGGGTCGTGGGACTGCAGGTTCTGTCTACTGCAACTCCTGTTTTGCTGAGCTGATGTAGTTCATGGGAATGCTTCTGAAACAAAATGAGCTTTCTCTTAATGTTTTGGTACTTCTTTTCCATGAAAATGACTTATTGTATGGGGCAGGGTTGAAAAGCAAGTTTACAGGATCTTTGTTTGGAAATGTAAAATGACCTCAGTTAGATAGATATTTGGGGCAAAAAATCCAAGGCTTTGTCTTCCTTCTTCAAGCTGGCAACAAGAATTTAAGACTTCAAAAAACTATAGTTCTATCTGTGAGGCCTTTTTTGAATTATTTGCTTATTATAGTATGGCATGGTGCAGTGGTCAAAATTAACAACCTATTTCTGTCCAAAAGTCTGTTACAATGGCAGTTTGTTAATCCCAGTCCTTAAAGAGCATTTCATCCCTGGAATGTGTGAAGGCCTGTGTGAGTGTACTGTTGTACTTCTTGGTATCCAGACTTACTTTGAGATAGAAAATATAGAATCTCACTTACAAGGAATACATGGAAATATTGCAGAAAAAAAAACCCAAACAATTTTTAGCTTCCATGAACATACAGCCACTCAAATAATTTAAAAAATGTTCTGAAGTCTTCTGAAATTGTTTTACCTGTCTGAAGTGCTTTGATATTTCGTGTGTCTCAGGTAAGTACAGATCAGGGTGATATTTTTAGCCCTAATATGGAACAAAGTAATCAGAGGATCATAGACTGGTTTGGAAGAGACCTTAAAGATCCTCTAGTTCCAACTCCCCCACCATTGTCAGAGACACCTTGCACTAGACCAGGTTGCTCAGGGCCTCATCCAGCCTGGCCTTAAGCTCTTCCAGGAATGGAGCATCCACAATTTCTCTGGGCAAGAATGCAACTTTATTTAAAGGGAAAAAAACCCAAACACACAAACCCTTCCTTTTTCACTTGTTTTATTTGGAGGGCTTGGGTTTTTATATTACATCCGAAATTATTTTATTTTCCCACCCATTTTGGGAAGCAAAATGAAAATTGCTTTTTCAAAGAACACTTGCTAGATAAGAATGTCTTTTGCTTTTGAAGCACATGTACAGGGACTGAGGCACTTAAACAGTTATCACTCTGCAAGTTTTCCTGGGAAGGCTGGGAGTCAGGAGAGGTGAAGTGTAGTCATTAGTCAGGCAACACTGAACATCAGCTGAAATCCCAGGGGGTTTTCTCGTTGTGGTGAAATGAAACAACTGAAAAAACACTTGAGTAATGTAAAAATAGAAGTAGCTTACATTGCAGGTATATAGTAGAAGGAAGGATGTGGGCAAGGGATTATGTGTGAGATTTTGTGAGCAGGGTCACTTGTGACTAAGCACATAGAGAATGAGTTTGCAGAGCTCTCTGCCTGTCCTCATTTAGCCAAGTGACAGGTTCAAATCAGTGCTGGGAGAAGCAGAGCAGTTCAAAGGAAGGTGAGTGAACAGGGTTGTGTATTTGCTCCAAATAGAGCAAAACAGAGCTTTTCCCTATGCACATGAGCCAAGCAAAGGGGCGCTTGTCTCTAATTACAGCTCTGTGTCTGCACATGACTGTGAATCCATGCACCAAGCAATGCCCTGTTTTTAATGTTATTTTTTCACTCGTGTATCTTCTGAAGGATCCTGACCTAGAAACAGCCTTTCATTTCAAGTGAAAGCTTGGGATCTGCAGAGTTACAGGGCACTGTCTGTTCTTACTCAGCAAAGTTTTTTATTTGGGTTATGTGCAAGAATTAAGGGCTTTACAAAGTTACATACAGAATATTTTAATAAAATACATAGTAAATAGATGAATTATCCCATTCTGCAGGTCAGGTTAGGACGTTACTTGAATTTGTGGCACATGATGGTGGATAAAGATGGTTCTTTTGAGAGCCAGGAAAAATAAAAAAAAGAGCCTCTGGAACAAATATCCCCCCCAAAAATAATTATTTTCTTTCTCCTGGCCTTCTTACTCAAAAATCTTTGAGTAGTCAATCTTATTTGTGTAGTCTTAGCCTCTGAACTGACTGTGCAAATCCTCTCCAGGGAAGAGAAGCATGATTTTATTTTATGTATTCTATTGGTTTAGCCCTGTTCGGTTTGTAATGCTTCCTTAATTAATAAGGGAAGCAGAAATATTTTAGTAACACTTCCATAGCTTGCTCTCAGTTCTGATCTGTTGTGTTTGTACAATGCTCGTGTAGACTAAACAATTAACAAAGTGAGCTTAATGGGACATTCAGAACTTCTGTTGAAGCCACTGGGAAACAAAAAACACAGCTCTGTTATCAGCCTGAATTTACTGTCAGAACAAGCTCCCAGACTGAGCAGTTTGATCCATAGAGTGTTCAAAAGCAACGTTCTTCAGAAGCTCACTTAAAATTATTTGTTCCGTGGAGATAGGGCCAAAATTGAATTGAATACATTGATCTATGGTTGCTTTTCCTTCTAAATGATTTAGAAGTTCAGTAACTGCTTCGATTGGAAAAGCAAAGTTGGGTTTTTTTCCTGACTAACTGAGCTGCCTGTAAGGAAATGTGTGCAGTGCGCTCTGGAGGATGGGATTGCAGCCTGTCCCTGGAGGAGTGAGGTACAGTTCTGGCCTGAAACACAGTTGTCGAAGCTACTGTGTCTGTGACCTCTGTGGTTTTCCCGTGGCTTCGGGAAAAGCAGTGTTCAAACACTGTAATGTGTCCCTGTAGGGTAGGTCTTCATCAAATGCTTTCCTTGGCCCTACCAAAGCAAATGTTTGAAGCGGCAGAGATAACCATGTATCCATAAAACTATGTCTTTATTCCTCCTCATTCCCGAGAGTCTTACGGCTGCTGAGGTGGCCGTAGGGAATTCTTTGCACGTGCTTCTAAGAATAGTGTCCTTTGCTTCAAGAGGGGAGGGAACAGGCACAGTCTGCATGTATGAAATAATTTCCCTTTTTCCTCTGAAGAGTAAACAAGGTGGAAAAACAATGAGATCATACAACTATGAGAAAACCTGTTTCCTTATACAATGAGTCACCTACCAAAGAACCAGGGTGTTTATCTAAAACTCAGTCCTCACTTGAAAAAAGTAGGTAATTTTTGGTGCACAGTGACCTAAAGACATTTAAAACTATTTTTGAGTGTCTCTTCTATATCATAACAGCTTTTGAAAGAAACTGTGGTGGTCAGGTTAGCGTTTTATATACATTTCATCATGCACACACAGCAGGTGTGAATAACCTCTTCTGTAATTAAAATAATAATTTTCTTAATATAAATAACTGAAAATCATTTGGAATTCCTCTGTTAACCACATCGGAGAAGGGATTATTCCTTTAATAATATAATAATACTTAATAATTTTATTTTTGTTGTAGTTCTGATGGTTTTGCTTAGGTATTTAGTGTTGTCCAAGGTAGACACACGGTGCCTAATTCAAAGTGATTTTCAGTATTTTCTGTGTTAATAGCACATATTTCTTCTTATAGTAGATGATGATCAAAATGCATCTATTATCAAAGTTTTCTCCTGTTATTACTATTTTACCTTCACAATGTTTACAGGAAGAATATCGTATCATGGGTGTTCCCCACCCAGTCTTTTATTTACTTTTTTTTAACACTGAGTTAAGCAGAACTGGATCAGAAGTAATTATAACTTTCTTCCCTCCTTATAGGTTTTCGAAAAATAAGTCTGGATGACCTTCGAAAGGCTTATATTGTGAAAGATGTGCAGCAATATATTCTGCATCGTTTAGACCAGGAAGAAGCCCTGAGACAACATCTCACAAAAGAAACAGCAGAGATGCTGAATCAGCTTCACATCAAAAGCAGTGGTTGCTTTTTGTATCTGGAACGTGTCCTAGATGGAGTTGTGGAGAATTTTATTATGTTGCGAGAGATCCGTGATATTCCAGGAACATTAAACGGCCTCTACCTTTGGCTCTGCCAGAGACTTTTTGTGAGAAAACAGTTTGCGAAGGTCCAGCCCATTCTTAATGTAATTCTTGCAGCCTGTAGACCCTTAACCACCACGGAGTTGTATCATGCAGTGTGGACCAAAAACATGACGCTGACGATGGAAGACTTCCAACGCAAATTGGATGTCCTGTCAAAAGTCCTTATCGATGGCCTTGGAAATACAAAAATCTTGTTCCATTACAGTTTTGCAGAATGGCTGCTGGATGTAAAGCACTGTACACAGAAATACTTGTGTAATGCAGCAGAGGGACACAGAATGCTGGCAATGAGCTACACCTGCCGAGCAAAGGATTTAACACCATTAGAAGCTCAAGAGTTTGCATTGCATCTGATTAATTCAAATTTACAGTTAGAGACCTCAGAGCTGGCCTTATGGATGATATGGAATGGCACACCTGTCAAAGACTCCCTGTCAACCTTAATTCCTAAAGAACAAGAAGTATTACAGCTGCTGGTAAAAGCTGGTGCTCACGTCAACAGCGAAGATGACCGCACGTCTTGCATTGTCCGGCAGGCTCTGGAGAGAGAGGACTCCATTCGCACCTTGTTAGACAACGGAGCGTCAGTAAACCAGTGCGATTCCAATGGGAGAACGCTCTTGGCCAACGCAGCGTACAGCGGCAACCTCGATGTTGTCAACCTGCTGGTCTCAAGGGGAGCAGATTTAGAGATAGAAGATACTCATGGGCAAACAGCACTTACCTTGGCTTCTCGTCAGGGACACACGAAGGTTGTCAATTGCCTGATCGGATGTGGGGCCAATGTCAATCACACGGATCACGATGGCTGGACGGCACTGCGGTCTGCAGCGTGGGGAGGGCACACAGAGGTGGTCTCTGCACTCCTTTACGCGGGAGTCAAAGTGGACTGTGCGGATGCTGACAGTCGAACGGCGCTGAGAGCAGCGGCGTGGGGGGGACATGAAGATATTGTGCTGAATCTGCTTCAACACGGCGCTGAAGTTAATAAAGCTGACAACGAGGGCAGAACGGCGTTGATTGCGGCTGCCTACATGGGGCACAAAGAGATCGTGGAGCACCTGCTGGATCACGGTGCAGAGGTGAACCACGAGGATGTGGACGGAAGAACGGCTCTGTCTGTCGCTGCACTCTGTGTGCCGGCCAGCAAGGGACACGCCTCGGTGGTCAGCCTGCTTATCGACCGCGGGGCCGAGGTTGACCACTGTGACAAAGATGGCATGACCCCACTGCTGGTGGCTGCTTATGAAGGACATGTGGACGTTGTTGATTTGCTTCTAGAAGGAGGAGCTGATGTTGATCACACAGACAACAACGGTCGTACACCGCTTCTGGCAGCAGCCTCCATGGGCCACGCTTCAGTTGTAAATACTCTCTTATTTTGGGGTGCAGCTGTTGATAGCATTGATAGTGAAGGTAGAACAGTTCTGAGCATAGCATCTGCACAGGGTAATGTTGAAGTAGTACGGACTCTGCTGGACAGGGGGCTAGATGAAAATCATAGAGACGATGCAGGCTGGACACCTTTGCATATGGCAGCTTTTGAAGGTCACAGGTTGATATGTGAAGCTCTTATAGAACAAGGTGCTAGAACAAATGAAATCGATAATGATGGTCGTATACCTTTCATATTAGCTGCACAGGAGGGTCACTATGATTGTGTGCAGATGTTACTGGAAAATAAATCCAACATTGATCAGAGAGGCTATGATGGGAGAAATGCTCTCCGAGTTGCTGCCTTAGAAGGTCACAGAGATATAGTTGAACTACTGCTCAGCCATGGAGCAGATGTGAACTACAAAGATGCTGATGGCCGGCCAACACTTTATATCTTAGCGTTAGAAAACCAGCTTACAATGGCTGAGTATTTTTTAGAAAACGGTGCAAACGTAGAAGCAAGTGATGCTGAAGGAAGAACAGCACTCCATGTTTCCTGCTGGCAGGGCCATTTGGAGATGGTACAGGTGCTGATAACATACCATGCTGATGTGAACGCTGCAGATAACGAGAAGAGATCTGCTTTGCAGTCTGCTGCATGGCAAGGTCATGTGAAGGTAGTGCAGCTTCTCATTGAACATGGAGCTCTGGTTGACCATACATGTAATCAAGGTGCTACTGGACTCTGCATTGCAGCCCAAGAAGGGCATATTGACGTTGTCCAGATATTACTGGAGCATGGTGCTGATCCAAATCATGCTGACCAATTTGGGCGCACAGCTATGCGAGTTGCAGCTAAAAATGGACACTCTCAGATTATTAAATTACTGGAAAAATATGGTGCATCGACTCTGAATGGTTGCACTCCGTCTCCAGTACACACAATGGAGCAAAAACCCTTACAGTCAGTCTCTTCTAAAATGCAGTCCTTAACAATGAAGTCCAATAGTTCGGGGAGTACTGGTGGAGATATGCAGCCCAGTATGCGGGGATTATCTAACGGGCCTGCGCACGCCTTCAGTTCTCCTTCTGAGTCCCCTGATTCTACAGTTGACCGTCAAAAGTCATCTTTATCAAATAATTCCCTGAAAAGTTCCAAAAATTCCTCTCTCCGCACCACGTCCTCGACGGCGACTGCTCAGACAGTGCCCATTGATAGTTTCCACAGCCTGTCGTTCACGGAGCAAATACAGCAGCATTCCCTGCCACGCAGCAGAAGCAGGCAGTCCATTGTTTCTCCTTCTTCCACAACTCATTCCCTGAGTCAAAATCACAATTCACCAAGTAGTGAGTTTGAGTGGAGCCAAGTAAAACCTAGTTTGAAATCAACAAAGGGTAACAAGGGAGGGAAAACGGACAACTCCAGCAAGTCTGGGTCAGCTGGAAAGAAAATAAAGCAGAGTAGTTCCTCCCAACCCAAAGTGTTAGAATATGAAATGACTCAGTTTGATAAGCGAGTACCTATTGCCAAATCTGGCCCAAGCATGCCACTGAAATCAATGCCGGTAGAGCCACAGTGCAAAATTTTGGTCCCGCCAGCTCAGCAGGAAGTTGGTCGATCTCAGCAGCAGTTCCTGATTCACCAACAGAGTGGAGAGCAGAAGAAGAGGAACGGGATTATGACGAATCCAAACTACCATCTCCAGAGCAATCAGGTTTTTCTTGGCAGGGTTTCTGTCCCACGAACAGTGCAGGATAGAGGGCATCAGGATGTACTGGAAGGTTATCCTTCTGCAGAAACAGAACTCAGCCTTAAGCAAGCCTTAAAACTTCAGATTGAAGGTAGCGACCCAAGTTTCAACTACAAGAAGGAAACACCATTGTAAAAGGTAACTTACCCTGTCACAAAGGAACCAAATGTCTGTATTTCATCATGTGCATTTAAAACATGCTAAATAACATTTTATTATCATTTCTCTTCATAACTGCTTTCATAATGAAAACCACAAATGTTAAAATCTTAAACTGGCAACTATTTGTTTTGCTGTCACTTAAAAGCATCAGCTGTAGAGGAATTGGGTCACTGTCATGTTTTCTGTTGAATTCAGATTGCTCAAACTGTGCCCCCACTGTCTTTGATATGTGAATAAATAAAAGAGCAAATTTCACCTAGCATTGATTTCGAATTTTCAAACATAAGGATTGATGGGAACTCTAATATGTGGTATTTTCAGATATAGTCATTATTTCATTATTTACAAAAATACTTTTCAGTAAGCTTCTGAAGGTTCTTATAAGTTACAGGCAAGCACTCTTCTGAATCACGGTAGCGCAATTATCTAGAAATTAAAAAGTAAACATGCTATTCTTAAACTTTGATTTTATGTTTCTGTTACTGAAAGGTAACCCTCCTATAAAAGAGGTGGCTTTTCTCAGAGGAAGATTAGAAATTATATATGGTACCAATTTTCAGACCATTCTGTAGTTCTAAATCAGTGGAGGTAATTTAGAGTTCTCACTTTCTGTCCCATACGGAATTTTAAACTGAAAAAGTAATTATAAGTAGCTTTTTTAGACCTGAACTGTCAGTGAGTAAGCTAAAATAGTTCTATTTTTCTCCCTGTTCCTATTGAGTTTAATCTTTTTTAGGGTATTTGGAATGTGTTAATAATTAATATATTTTCTATTTGAATTTCAGAGAAGCAGTGTCTGTATGATATGTACGCCCTTCTCTTGTTGCTTATTTGCTTATTTCTGAAAACTTTTTTTTTGTGTAAATGCAGCATTTTGGACAGCTCAAACTGCTGCTCCTTAGAACAGGAATGTTCTTGCCAGCTGACTCAGTTCTGCTGCAGGTCATCACACGCTGCGTGTTCTAGGACAATTGCAGGTGGTGCAGAATCCACAAATGGGAAGTTTTCAGCTGTCAAAAACACACAGATGGGAGTTTTCCCTAAGTGTCCTAGAAAATGATTTCACTTTAATGGAAGAAGTGTAAATGTAGCTGAGGACCCTTGTGAGTTGGAGAGTATTAGAATATTCTGCAGGACCCTAAGTTGGGCTTGGCATTTTGGTTAAATTAACATATTTGAAACAATAAAGTGTTTCAAAAACATATGTATTGCAGCCAGCACATTTGTAAAATGCAAATATTAGCAAAGGGTCAGATGAGCTGTAGGGCAGGAAGAAGGGACGAGGCAGCACAGCAGGAACCAGCATAGAAAGGAATCATCAGCTAAGAGAGAATGGGCCCTAAATCTTCTTAAAAGTTATAAGCATTTCAGATTCCCACAGTTGTAAATCATGCCCAGACAGGATTTAAATTGTAATTTTTTCCTGCCTCCATAAAACATCAAACCATGTAATTAAGAATTGTATTTCCTAACTCTTATGTACCTGCATCTGATGTTCATTGCTTGCTTTCATGTTACACTTTATTGTAAATCCATTGTTTGGTTCACCTGGGAAGTGTTGATCTACCTGACCTGTCATCAAAAAACTAGTTTTGATGATTTTTTCCAACTTAATTGGTTTTAAAATATAAACAGCACATAAAAAAAATCTGAACAATCTACACATAACTTTAAAATTGGGTTTTGCTTTATCTGGAACAAATGGTGCATTACTGAAAATTCAGGGGTTTTCTCTGTGAAGTTCTTGGTTAAGAATAGCATTTAGCAAATGGCTAAACAAAGGAGTACAAATAACCTAATGGTTCCTTTTGCTTTTTCTCTTAACTGTTTTTCATTGCTTCATTGTAAAGATGGAAGTTTAAAACAATTTTGTGTGGATTATGAATTGCTTGGCACAGGCAATAATTTACCTCCTCTTTTGCCAAGTCTCAAGCACAGAAACTGTAATTTCCCTGACCGGTTAATAAATTAGTCACCTGTGGAGAATCCCATCAGAAATACTCTACGGGAGCACCAGAGGAATGGTTTTCCTTCCCTGGCTGCTGCTTCCGAGCGCTATTCAGGAAGCTCTCCTGCTGTGGGGACCTTTGGATGGCAGAGAGCACAGAGAATCAATCATGAGATTTGGGTTAGGGAGGAAGCACTTTCCATCATCAGGTGGTTGTTGTGTGCTTTAAACTTTAATTAGAGATGATATAGCTCCCTTTCTGACGATACTGTTTGTATTATGGACTATTTCAAAACTTAATGTTTTTATTTTGTCCTTCCAGGCCAATTCCATGATGCTGTGAACAGAAGCCCTTCTGCTCCAAAAGATTTATCAGCTGGCTGGGATGAAAGCATATAATGCTTATTTAGTGCACCTAGAAATTCAAGAATGTGATTACTACAGTACAGTTACCTTAATTACTGTAACGTGCCTACATTTTCAGGCTGCCTTCTCAGTATAACCCTCTGTGCTTCGAAATTTTATTTTGTGTACTTTGTATTTAATACACAGAATGAGCACTTTTTTTAATTGCAGAAAGATATATGCTGTATTTCCCTGACCACAGCTGAAAATGGTAAGAACCAGGAATTCTGATTTCCTATTCCAGATCGCTTGGTAGAGGTGCATGTGCCACAGTGAACTGTGTATGGAGAGGCAGTGCTTTTTGTATTTATTTTTCTGTAATAAGCAAAGAAAATAAGCAAAGAGTTTGTCACATTTGCATTGTTGTCCTGTATGGTCAGTTCCCTGTGTACTTCAAAAAGTTCTCTCCAGAATTACAAGTCTCGTAACAGTATTTTATAAATACTGTACTTGTTTGTTCTGTCTGTGTAATAGCTGTTCAGTGGTAGCAAAGGAGTCGGACTGCAACCATCTACAGTGTCTTTGGGATTTTTGAGAGGCAAAAATCCACCCTCTGGTACTACAGCACCAAATCTGGATGGCAGACTGGGACCACTGAAAGCAATAGGTGAATTTTCTCTTGGACACTTGGTCTTCAATAGCCTCCGTTATTGTTACAGTAATGAGGTAACTAATATGGGTATGTTTGAGGTGCTAAAGGTCTGATCCTGCTTTCATGTATATCTTTATACATTAGAAACAGCTCTTTCTTTATTCCAAGGACTGTATTGAGAATGTCAGTAAAATAGACGGTGGAAAATGCAGACACTTTGTTAATGGGGCTGAGGGAATATACAGCCGGAGTACGGTGGAAAAGCACACAGTCAGTGACAGCGTTGCCTGGGGAGTACAGAGATTACTGAGTTAGCCCTGTCCTGAGACAATAACTCTTTAAAGCACAAACTTGTATGAATGTGGTTGCTGCTTCAGGTGGCTCAGGTAGAGCCAGTGTGAGTGTCTCTGTACCTGGAGCTTGGTTAATCAGCAGTCTGGATAGTCCATCTACAGATAATGGAAAGCTGGTTTCCCGCTCTTACAGCAGAAGAATTTTACTTAAATGAAAGAGAGCAAAGTCAAGGTCATTGCTGTGAAAGTGAACAGTGTGAAATTTTTCCTTTGAATGTGCACACCTTACTTGCACAGTTCTGCAAGTGATAAAATAAAACTAGTGGGTTATTTTCTCCTACAAATGCAAGCTATATTCTACTATTCACCATTACACAGCCTTGCTCTTTAGAAAATAAGCCTATTTTTGTACACAAGTATTTCTTCTAAAGGCTTAGGTTTCATCTTTTTCATACTCTAATTCTGATCATTCCAGAAATAAGATGATAGAAAGCTGAGGTTATTTTTCATAGATGATTAATTAGATCCTTAAACTTCAATAAATGGCCCCTGGATGTAGATGTAGCGCATATTCTGAGGCACTAAAGGGCTTCATGTCTGGTTATTGTGATCCAACCGTCATCAGAACATTTTTTTAAATCTTGCACCTCCATTTTTATTTGCTTGCTACTAAATGTAAAAAGAATCTTTTATAGTCAGGCATTGAGCATATAGTAAAATTAGATGTTAGAAGTTAACACACGGCAATATTGGTTATTCTGAATGTTTCATGTATTGAATTTCTTGTCCCCGTGGGACAATTATAAATTAAACATAACAGGAGTCTGGCAAAATGGCCTTAAGAGGCTCAGTAAAGAGAAAGTACCAAAATGTTTTCAGCAAACTTGTTCCGAACCTCAAGTGTAGTACATTTGCAATACTGTGCAAGAATACGACTTTTCTTAGTTATTACATGTATGTTTTGTTCTGTAGAAAGGGATCCCTGATTGCCAACATTTTTCTACTGACCTTGACTGTCATTGGGATTATATTTATTTAATTTTATTGTGTTGTTATTAATTGCACCTTGTGGACAGAGGACGTAAAAATATGGCCAGTTTCACAAGGGGCCACAATATATAGATAGATAGTCTGGTGGGTTTTTTGTGAATAATATTTACATTTGAAGCAGTCGCTGGTGAAACCCTCCATCCAAATCAGCAGAAAGTAGAGCTGTTGAAAATGTTTCCAGAATGACAATTCTTCCACACTTTGAATATCACTCTGGAACAGAGCATGGATTGCTTTAAATCATCCACTTTCTCAGAAGGTCTGCGCAATTCCATGTTGCTGTTGCGTGTGATTTTTAGCACCACCGTTTGTGAGGGTTTTGTGTGCCAAGCAAAGTTGCGTTCCCCACGTTGTTCCCTCTGCTCTTCCATTTTGTGTCCGTACAGTGGAGTGGAGGCGAGCGGAGGTTCAGAGCTGTGACTCAGCACGGTTTCTTTTGCCAATGTAACAATTCTCACAGCCTAAAAAAAAACCTGAATAAAACATGAATCCTCTTTTTCTCCATCCCATTTCGCTGGTCCTTCCAAGATCACCTCCACAAGACGTCTAAAATTCTTGATGGGAGAACTAGGGAAAAAGACTGTTTTGTGGACATGGATGTCAATACTGTGTGCATGTGGAAAAATACGTCAGAAGAGAAATGCATTAAGAGATACAGAGGCACAACTGATGCATTTTTGTCTTCTCTGTGATCAGTATTGAAAGCATTACCATTTCTTTAAAACTAAAAAGGTATTTTCCCTCCTCAGTTACTCTGCTATGCAAATGTCTGTTATGCTTAATACTCCCCATCTGAACTCCTCAGTTAACTTGGTTTGCAGATAGACTGGTTTTTTCCTGGAGTGGGTTGTAAATAGCCTTTAATGTACATTGAGTGAATTTCACATTGTAAAATTTTTATTTTATTCCTTGTATTATATTAAGCGAAAATCCCTGTGTATATTAAAGTGCATAATAAATATATTTGCTTTTCAGCAGACATCTGTTTTAATTTTTCTACCTCATTTCCTGGGACATTTCAGGAAAAGGTTATTAAACTTGATTAACATTTGTGTAATACTAAATGAAACATTATGTATGTGTCCAGTAAACAGTCCAGGCTAGCAAACCTCAGACCTCAATGTTAATTCCTATGACCCTGAGCATTTGCAGGAGAAAATTTGCTGGGTGTCCTTCTGTTTAAAATGACTGTTATATACTGTAAAGACCAGGAGGGCAAATAAATTCACTATTTCAGTTGCTATAAGTCCTTTACCACTTCAAATGGATTTTGTTAATTATCGCCTTTATCAGTGTTACCCTGTAGTATTTTCAGTTTAAGCAAAAGCTCTGCTACTGATGGTGGCTACTCATTTTTCTTGAATTTGTTATTAGAAAAGGCAGGAGAGAAAAGTTTTCTGGTCATTGCAATAATCCCCTTTGCCCTTGTGAACCTGTCTCACTTCCACTTTGGATTATAAAGGTGCTGTGATTTCTCTGCAGAGAGTTGTTGAGTGTGAAGGAAGAGTTCAGCTGTGCCTTTTGCAAATGATGGTTCAGGTTTACCTCCAGGTGTTTTCATTCACACAGATTTCAGTGATTGGTGGGCATGGATCAACTGATTTCTAAGATTAGGAGAATGACAAAATTGTCATTAATTGTTGACTTGTTTTCTGTGTATTTCTGTTGTTTCTCTCAGCAATTATTGACCCTCTTTGTTAAGTTTTCTATATCTGAAATGACAAAGTATGAGGAGCGTTAATTCAGTGGCTATTTTTCATTGAGGCAAAGAATCATTTTCACTGAATTAATCTTTGAGTAACTTCTATTATGTTTCAGATACAGACATTTTCTTCAGATAATCACTGTACTAATAATTAAATAAAATTGTCCAACACCTGTTTCAAATCTCTTACTCTGTGGAATATAAACAATCACATTGAATAGCACTTCACATCTTCTGGGAGATCTTTACTACAATTTGATTTGTATATTACCAAGCAGTACCAAAATGTATTTTTCAAAAAAAAGCTGAGACTAGTTGGCTCAGTCAACTAAAGCTTTTCAGTTGGAGGCCCTTTGAGAGACAGCAATGACAATTTGGCATTGATCTAAATCCTAATCATTTTATGCTACAAAGAGTCACAGAAATAGGGTATGGGACTGAGAAATCTACTTTGGCAAATCATTTTATTAAAGAAGTCTCCAAATCTATATGTAGATAATATAAACAGATTGAACTTTAGGAATAAATCTAATTTGCTGGTGTCCCAGAAAGACCAACTGTTCTCACATCTATTCTTACAATTTTATATTAGACCTGTGAAAGCACAGAACTACAATTACAGGTGGAGTTTAAGCTGGAGAAAATCAGCTTCTATTGGACTCCTGTGACAAAGTCATGTGTCTTCAGGAATAAAGTTGGTGTCCTGTCATTTTTTTCAAATGGATTAAGAAAACAGTAAAGGATTTTGTGGTTTGGTTTGGGACATTTTTCCCTTCACTGTGCCTCATTAGTTCATCTTGGACTCCCCAGCCTGTTCTGTACTTGTCTCTTGGGGCTTGCTCAGGTGTTTGCACAGGGAATTGGCAGCACTGTGGTAGCTTTCAGCTGTTAGTCATGTGTATCCTTGGAAAAATGGGAGATGGGGAGGAGGCTGCAGGGAACAGCTGTGCTAGATAGAGCTAATCAGAAAAATAATTGCCACTTCTTTGACTCTGGAAGGTTTAAAGCAGTTGCCTCTGGTTTAAGGTGTGGGGTTTTTTTCCATTGAAGCACTAATTCAGGCTTTATGTCTGAACCATGAACAGCTGGATGGCAGGAGGGTGTTGGATCTCTAGGCGGGTGACCCTGCAACACTCTGTGTTTTATTTGGAACTGCCAGAGAGGGCAGGAAGCTTTTAAAGAATCCTTTGCAAGATGTTTGGTGCCCTTCTCCAAGGAGCATGCCAGCAAAGGAACCTCCTGGTTCCTGATGGCATTACAGTTTTCTTGGTGAAGTTGATACTGTGAAAACAACAAGATTCCAGAGAGGAGAGTTTGGGGGATAAAACAGAATAAGCTATGGGGGTTTGGTGTTTTATTTCCCCCTATAACTTCTTTGATGTAACTTATTTTCAGTCTCATTCTTGTAGGGGGAAAAAAAAAGGTAAGTAATAAAATTCTCTCTGAGTTAAGGCTGTGAGCACAGCTTTTGTCTACTTTTTATGTCTTGGTGAACGTTAGGCAACCTTATAGGGAAACTGTTTAAAATTCAAAGCTTTATTCATAAATGACAGAGTGACAGAGTGGACCTTTATTATTATTTATTCTGTTGTCTTCCATTATACTGGCTCTTCAGTTTATCATTGTATTTTCCCCAAGAATAAAACATTACAGTTTCATAATAGTTACCTTGCTGTTTTTCCACACTGCTCTCATAGAAGGTGTTACTTTTTGCCAGTAAATCCCAAAACATTTTACAGAAAAGATGAGGAATATTGAGATAAAGATACATTTGCCCTGGCTAAAAACAACATCAGGAAAAGCCCCTGGGTCTCTCCCAGCCCTAGGCAATTCTGCTGCCTTGAATAACCTGTTGTCTGGCATTAACTCATCTCCTGCTTTTTTTCAGTTGCTTTTTTTAGTTGCTTTTTCTGCATTTGCAGTGTAACTCGCTGGAGGCTGTCCATGCAGCTGGGTGCCTCCAGCTCTTGGCCGGCTGTTTGAGCTGTGTCAGAGAGGAGTCAGCTCCGGTTCAGAGGCTCCTCGGCGAGTGGATTCCTGCAGGGCTGGGCTGAGGATCACCTTGCTGCATCAGGCCTGTGCTGAGCAGCGTGACACGTGGGACAGCCTGCCAAGCTCCCTGTGTAGTTGTGCTCATTTTTGCTGCTGCAGTCAGAACTTTCAAAAGCCCTCTGGAAAAAAAAGTAGGGAAAAAAAAAAAGGTTTGTCCAGGAGCCCGGTTTACAGGTGAGAACTTTGTGGGAAGGAATACTGAGCACCAATCTAGCCTTTGTGTCCTGGTGCCAGTCTTCTCCTAGTGTAATACTCTGAATTGAATGGAAGATAAAGCAATATGAATGTTTCTGTCTCTGCTAACATTTAATATCTCCTTTGTGCCTTGGTTAGCTGTCAGCCTTTTGACAAATTAATGGAGATGGGTGTTTCTGAAGGCTGTCATTTGATGGTATTTGTGGTATGGAGAGACAAGATCCTTTTACAGGCACAATGTTCAAAGCAGAGAATTTTTTCAGAAGCTGGATAGGACCAAGTTCTCTATTTATCCTTCCAATTGTACTTTTCTGGATGGCAGGAGCAAAAAGCACCAGAACCAGCAATGTAGAAGATTTAATTGTGTGAGAGAAAACAAGGAGGAAAGGTTCATGTCATCCCAGAAGTCTTCAAAATGCAACTCACTGTTTGCCACGTCTGAAAACTTTATTGCTGAAACAAATCTTGAGATGCTTAGAGGGTGCATAATTAAGAGTCCTCATTTGTCCTCAGGAGATGTTCA